CAGAGCTGGCTCTCTGATGATCACTCCCTACTCTGATCCCCAGGTTCCAGAAAAACAACTTTCCCATGCAGTCTCCCAGGGTGTCCCCAACTGGGTGATTCTATGTATTTGGCTTAGTAATCAGAAACGAGGATTTGAAGAAGAAAAAGCCCAAGTGTGCGAACAATGGGGCTGCACACAATCTGCGCAGTCCCCGTTTCCCCCTTGAGTCTAAGCAGCCAGCACACTTTATCATTTTTTAGGCTGTTCTATTGCATCAGATCAAAATGGGTTGCTTTTTAGAGATCTCTTCTGTTAACAGCACTGAGGACCCCCTTCCACATTCACGGATCACGCAAGCCCCAACAGCCACGGATTTTTCTAGGTGCAGACCTCCCCTGGTCCTCCAGCTCCCACAGTGTGCATGTTTCTCTGTCCTGCCGGGACCAGAGACCTCACCTCATCCCAGGCGAAATCTGACGTTTCTGTGGTGGAGTGGAGAGCTACTCTGAATCCATGTGTTTGCACCAACTGGGGACCAGTGTTCTGGGGTTTGCAGCTATTTGGTGGGTGCCACAGTTGTAGATTTTCAGGCTTCCAATAACATCCTCTTACCTCTTTAAGATGGCACAGTCTCTGCATCCGAGCCAGTGGCTCTGGGAGGGAACCCAGCAGCAATGGAGGCTGCCCGGTCAATGGAACCCCGTCCAGCAGTCCCCCAACTTCTCCTAGAATATAACTGTCCCTTAACTTGCCAACAAACACTCTCAGTGTGACCCTCAGCTCTTCTTTCTGCTCAGGGACAAGGCTTGGGACACATTTGTCTATTCCACCACCATTTTTCCGTCCCTTACTTCTTATTAAAGGTGAATATTGGTGGAAGAGATTTTTATTTCTCCTTTTAAAACATTCACTGAGGTATGCTGGGAAAGGGTTACTACTTCTATATATACTTTTTTTGTTATTTCTACTTAATAATTCCCTGAAGTTCTACAAACCCTCATTTAGTTCAAAGATATGACCTGCTTAGAAGCCTGCAAATTAGAGTAAGACAGAGTCCTTCCCAATGGGACATAAATGCACCGAAGTAAAGCAATGGCTGTCCAATATGACAAAATTCAAAAAGTGGTATGGTTGTTGATTTAAAATTTAATTGATAAAAACTTTTATTTTGTAACATTGAGACAACCTTTTAGTACATCAAACAATTCTATCTAATAAAGAAGGAATATGTTATTGCGTTTACCCTCATGCCATCACAAAGATGGTGCACCCACATCCAATAAGGAGGAATATGCTAATTGAATGCCTGCCCTCAAAGATGGTGACACCACAGGCAAGCCTCAAATGACAACTGCCTAGTCAATGCCTGAGGTGCAGGCAAGCTTCACATGTCCCTGGCCTAGCTGCTCATGGCCAGCCCAAGGCACAGGTAAGCCTCAGATGGTGGCTGCCCAGCCGCCTGGGGCAGCCCAAGACTCAGGTAACCAGGGTGGCCCCAGGCTTGCACTGCCAGAAATAGCAGCAGCAGAGATGTGGGGGTGTAGCCTTCCCCTGATCACTGGGTCACCTCCTGCCCCTGAGGGCTCCCAGACTGTGAGAGGGGGTAGGCTGGGCTGAGGGCCCCCTCCAGTGCATTAATTTTCATGCACCAGGTCTCTAGTTTATATATAAAGAGCAACATGTGGCACATGGCTTATTGTAGATGGTGTATTAAGCATTGAAAACAATTTATAAACCTCTAATATGAAATGCAAAACACCCGGAGTATAAGATGCAGAGTGAAAAAGACATCTCACAACTCCCAATTCATTTCACAGAGATCACAATAAAAGTGAGAGGCAAGTGACCTAGTAATTAATGGGCTAACTTAACAGCTGCATCTGGCTGTAACGCTGCTGCATAGTAAGGGGCCATGCCTTCCTCACTTGCAGTGGCCTCGCTCTCTGGTATTACTGTCTGTTGCATGCAGAGGGGCTCCCACCCTAGATTTCTAAGGAGTTTGGAGAGTCTTCCTCTGCCTGAGGAATTAACCCCTTCTTAGGTGCTGCAAACCATTAATCCTGTCTTTAGTGAAGCAGATTGATTAAAAAACCATTCGGACTGGGAGTGAATTCTCTGAAAGGCTAAAAACTTCTACAGGAGTACTGGCAAGAGTGCTAAGGGCTGTTCTTAATTCCTGTTACACTTGATGGGAAGATCTAGGGCCATGCTCATATGTAAGGAGTGGAAAACAATTGGCTGGCCTCACCTGTATTAACACTTGCCTAGAAATTTTCCCTTAGGACCTTTTACTCCCTTTATACTAGAGAGGCCTGCACAAATGGAGACTGAGGAGTTAAGCTTAATGGGACCCGGTCTGCTGATGCAGTGGCCTCAACTTAGATCTTCTTTACTGAGCCCATTTGCCTTCCAGCCTCTTAGATAACATATCTATGAGATGTCTGGGTAACTTGTAACTTCCCTTTTTCTGGAGCATCTGGGGCACAACCAAATGTGGTGGGCGCAGGGACAGATGCCTCAAATTCCTTCTTTATCATGTTAGTTGTTCCTGCACTCACCTAAGTACCTGTCCATCAATTTACTTTTTATCCAATCCCAGGGGTTTCCCACCGCTTTGCTTTCTTCCGCCTCCTTAATCCATCACCAATGAATTTCATGTAACCCACCTATGTCCTTCCTTTGATTTCAGTGTATAAATAGAAATGTAACCCGCCATTCTTCGGAGCATTATCTCAATCCATTGAGGTTCTGCTTCCCGGCATATGTCGACAGTTTGGCTCAAATAAACTCACAAAAATTCTTTACAGGTTTCAATGTGTTTTTTGTTTGTTGGGGTTTTTTTTTGTTTTGTTTTGTTTTTTCGTTAATGTTATGCCCAAGTTTCATAAACCCCAAAGACTACCAGGGAGCCGAATCTGATGCAATTGCAGAAAGCCTGTATTTATTTCGGACTAGTCTGAGCTCAGTCCCACTTACACCAATGAGGGCATGGCGAGAAAAAGAAAGAACTTAACAGATCAATGGGTTTTATAGAGAGGGAGGTGCTGCTATCTTGGCTGACCTGATTGGTTGGGTTAGGCCTAGCGTTAGACCTGGAGCTGGACCCGCCCCATCCTGCCCTCTCACTACGCCTGCCCTCTTACCCAGCCTGCCCCCTCACCCCATCCTGCCCTCTCAGTTAACAGAAAGAAGCCTCTTTGTCTAAGAAGTATAAAGTTGTTACTGATCAGCCAGCGAGGCTGCTTGGTGAGGCTAGCTGCTGATAGGTGTTGCTGTATTATGGGGAAGATATATTACTGACCAGTAGGCTGCTGCTGTAGGAAAGATGTATTGTTACCTAGCCAGTGAGGCTACTGTATGGGACTTTGCTTTGAAGAACTGTTCTGTCTAGTGGCTCCTTGTTAGCAATGGCTACATGGCCACTGGCTTCTACAATAAAGATTCTCTTATATACCCACAACTTCTCCTGGCTTCCCTGTAAAATACTGGCTGTCCCTATGATTCAGGCCCTGGCAGAGGGGCTCTAACCTGACAATTACTGTAGTGGAGCAAAGTGATGGAACTGAGTTCCAACACTCAGCTATTGCAACAATCAAGACATTATCAGAGCTTCCCGGTGGCCTTCATATCCAAAAGCATTGAAATCTGGTGTGCAAAGGGATTGATTGCTGCCTCCCAGTGAATGAAATCCGATGATAAAACGCATCAAAATCAGTTTCATATTGAACAAGACCTGTTTTTGCTCCTCCTGCATCCAACTCTGTTTTCCAAGATGCTTCTCATCTTCCCAACATCTGACTCAATAAAACGCTTTTATCCGCATTAAAAATAATAATAAAGTTAAAGATTCTTTTACCTATCTTGCCAGGTGCCAGTCACCTCCGTAGATGCAAGGGCTCCTAGGTTTTAAGGACCTATTCCCCACCCTTCCTACCCCTGCCTCTTCCCTCACATAAGGCTCCCTGCTTCACCTTCCCTGTCCATGGACTCCCTTCCCTGCCCAGCATCCAGAAACTTCCCTTCTCCCGGGGCCTGGGCACCTGCCCAGTCTCCAGGTCCCAGCCTCACCACCGTCCCCTTCAAGGCCCCATGGCTGCCTCCTGCCTCCTCCTCCTGGGGCACTTGCACCGCTCCTGGACCTGTGGCTGCGGGAACCCCGGAGGGAAGACCTCTTGTGGGGACTGTGAGGACCACATGAGCCCACAAAGCCTCATTGCCTTTCCTCCCCTGCCGGGTCACGTGCACAGAAATCGGGCCAGGCGCGGCCTCTGGTGCTCCAGAGCCCCAAATGACCAGGGACACTCCACCGCCATGGATTGGGAGGCCTCGACTCAAACCCGGGGCCACCCGCTGCTCCGGCCTCGCTCCAGCAGGAGGTGAAGGTGGGGGAGCAGGGCGGTGAGCGAGCCCGTCAGGGCGCCGTGGCCTGCGCAGCCCCGAGGGCCTGCGTCGCTCTCCCGAGCCAAGGTTCTCAGGAGCGGGACGCGGAAGAGACGTTGGCGGGCGGAGTTAGCGGTTGTCCGGAGGACGGCTTCACGGAAACAGCTGCTCCCAAAGCCAGAGCCATCGGGGAGGGGGCGAGGGTGGGCCGCCTTCCTCACTCCCAGGCCCCGGGCGCCGGCCGGCCGGGCGCCCTGCCCACAGCGACCGCCCGCTAGGCGGGCCGGGCCCCGCCCGAGGAGCCGCCGCCGCCGGCCCCGCCCGGCCTGAACGCCCAGGGGCGGCGGCCTGGCTCGGGAGCCAGCGGTGAGGAGGCCGGGGGCGTGGCTGGGCGCGCAGGCCCGCTGCGATTGGCGCGGAGGCGCCCGCGAGGCCCGGCAGCGCCGCTGATTGGCCGATCACAGACGCGGGGCGGGGGCGGGGGTGATGGCGAAACTAACCAGCGCTAAGTGCCGGGGCGGCCCGGGTGTGGGCGTCTCAGTTGGAATCCTGCTGCCTCTCGCCCCCTCCCACCCGCCCCACTCCGGCGGCCCCTCGCTCCCGGTCCCCCAGAGCACTCCTAGTTGTTGGAGACCCACATGTATAAGGCCGGGAAGAGCGGGGCCCGCTGTGGAGAGGTCGGAGGGCAGGAGTGCTCTGCTGGTCGCTGGGAAGGCCGCGCCTTCCCCGCAGGGATGTATCCTGGTCTTTGCTGGCCGGAGGGCGGGGGACAAGCCTCAGCAGAGAAAGACTCGCTCTGTTTAGACCCCCAAGAAACGTGGCTGCTCTCTCCTTCCGGCCGTCAACCAGGTCGTGGGAAAAAGCCTCAAGGGATTCAAGTCGCTGTTTTGGTTTAAAGCAGCTTTGATAGCTTACGGCCCGTGGCTAGCGCCCTTTGAGCCCTAATCATTGCAGGAAAGGCCATCGTTTTAGTGCTTCCTCTTAGAGCTGCATCCTTGGAGCCCCTGGTGGACGAGGCTGACTAACTGGCTTGTCTCTTTCTCCTTCCTGAGGCAGCAGCCTGTGGACACTGAGGTGATGCATCTCAGCAGCTCCAAGGGCAGAGTAGTCCTGGCTCCAATGTCCCGAGGTTCTGATGGCCGTCAGAGGACAAGAGCTCAGCTTGGCCAGGATCCCCCACAAAGAACAGTGCTAGGGGTGCTAACTGAGAATGGACAGTACAGGAAGACCTGTGACCAGGTAATGACTGAGAAACGCTGGGGGAGCTGCTTGTTGAGAAGGGCTCTCCTATCATGCTGGGAGGTGGGGTTCCTCTTGCAGCTTTACTTACAAATTCTTCTTGAGTATTTCAACCCTGGAATCTGGATTATTGGGACATTGGATATTTTAAGATAATCTTATTGGGCCCTTTTTACACCTAGAAATAGTAAATAATTATTTCCCTTCCAAAATCGAGGAAATATTAATAGGTCTAGGAACTATTTGGATTAAGTATATGTAAAGTCATTTACATGCTGGATAAAAGGAAATGTTAATACCCCCAAAGAAACTATAGAACTGGGGTTACTCCAGGTCAGAGTGGTGTGCAGACTGATTTAGACTGTGCCTAAAGCAATCCTGGATAATCTTCACCTTATTCATTGGAGAGTGTTTAAAATTAGGATTGGATCAGGCTAGACTAGATTATTTCAAAAAGTTATTTGAAAGCAGACCTCTCCCCAGTACTGATAAAGGGCAGTAGGCCATTAGATATTGCTTAATTGATTCCTTAGAATTAGATTGAAAACAAATTCAGACATTTAAATACAAATGAAGAGTTTGGATCCTTAAGAATGGATTTTCAGGTTTAGAAAAAACAACAACAACAACAACAACAAAAACCACACACACAAAAGCTTTCCCAAGTCTGTTATCAGACAAAATCCTGATAACCGTGCTTTTAAAAGCCTGTTTGCACACTTATAGTGGAATAATGCTGGCATTAGTCAGTGAGGTAGGCAGGCTAGATATCATTTCCATTTTAAAAAATATATATATATTTTTTTACTTACTGCTTTTATTTTTATTCTTAATATATTTTATTGATTTTTTACAGAGAGGAAGGGAGAGAGATAGAGAGCTAGAAACGTTGATGAGAGAGAAACATCGACCAGCTGCCTCCTGCACACCCCCTACCAGGGATGTGCCCGCAAACAACGTACATGCCCCTGACCAGAATCGAACCCGGGACCCTTCAGTCCGCAGACCGATGCTCTACCACTGAGCTAAATTGGTTTCGCTACTTACTGCTTTTAAAGAGAGAGAAAGGGAAAGAGAGAGGAGGGAAAAGGAGGAAGAGAGAAAGAGAAAAAGACATTGATTTGTTCCATTTATTTATATATTCATTGGTTGTTTCCTGTGTGTGCCCTGGCTGGGCATCAAACACTTAACATTGGCATATTGAGATGATGCACTAATCCACTGAGCTATCAGGCCAGAGCTATTCTTTCCATGTTATAGGTGAAAAAATTTAAAAGGGAAAGAAAGGCCAAGGTTGAAGCAGTGGGAGAAGGCATAGTAGAGGAGACCAAATTAGAAACCTCTCATCTAGTGACCTGAGCATTCATGCATTTTTGTGGCATCTAATTAGTTGGAGAAAAATACCCAAAATGATCTGTTTAAAGCTTTGGAAAAAATTCAGAAGTTGTTTTTAACAAACTTAATTTGTTTAGCAATGTTTGCTTCTTTAAACTTAAAGCCTAAAACCTAATTATTATGAATTGGTACTATGCCTTTTCTGACAGGTCTAACCTCTTACATTGCCTGCTCTACCTCTAAATGTCCTTGCTTGATTCTTCTACAACCTTCTTAGAAATTTAATGCTTCACAACCTCCACCTCAGTTAATGGCTTTGTATTCTATTTTCCTAAAATATGAAAGCAACCAGAAGAGAATTTTTATATACTCTTATGTGCCATATACTCTGTCATCCAGATCCTGCTACATGACTCATGTCCCTACTCATATGCAAGATGAACACCTATTTGTGCAATACACCTTACTCTTTTTTTTCTTCTTCTCCTCTTCTTTTCTCTACTGCATCTAATGCTTTAGCAAATATACTTTTTCCATCTTAAATATCTTTCAACTACAAAGCTCTTTGCACTGTCTGTCTCATTTATAGAAATATTTCTTAAGAGTTTGTTTATCCCTGAGAGAACCAAGATGGCTGCGTAGGTAAGCACCTAAGCTGCCACCTCGCACAACAATTTCAAAACAACAACTAAAAGACAGAATGGACATCATCCAAAACCACAGGAAAGCTGGCAGAGTAACAAAACTACAACTAGAAAGGAGAGTGGCTCATGGATTATATTGGGTGCCACAAAGCGCAAAGGTAGGGTGATGCGTTCACAGAGAGGAAGTGCGGCCGAATGCCTGGCTGGCGGGAGGGAAAAGGAAGTCCCCGATTGCACTGAACCCGTTCCAACTGTATTGAACCCCAATACTGGCTGAAACCCTGTGGACGCAGGCTCCTATGGGTGGCATCTGGACCGTAGAGAAAGGCACCTGGAGACTCAGAGACTGGGAGACTGGGGGAGCCGAGAGCTGCAGCGGGCAGGATCTACAGTTGCCCGCGAGTGAGTGTGCACAGAGAGGTCTGAAAGGGAAGGAGTCAGAAGCTCCAGACTACAGAGACCCAACCCAATTCCGGGAAAGCCCCTGGGGCACCCACGCTCTTGCATGGGGAATCTGGATGATCAGGCAGAAACTCAGGGGAGCGCACAAGGGCAGGGCTGATGGGAAGCCAAGACTATTAGCTCAGCCGTGAGACTCCATGCCATCCAAGTTGAGCACAGAGGCTTTTGCATTCTTGCAAATCTGATCCTTTAAGACTGTCTCCAATACAGAAAGTATCCCAGAGTAGACACAGCTGATACATCCAATTGGTCTGGAGGTCAATTCCTCCCAGGGATACCAACATCAATCAAGACTTAACTAAAACAAGGCTGTCACGCAGTCCACAAAGGGGAGTACCAAGAATGTCTACCTCAGGTAACTGGGGAGGCTGACCCACCCGGCCATATAGGACACCAAACACACAAAGCCATCCTACCAACTCAGGGAGGCAGTGAAAATGCCGAGACAAGGAAATAGATCTCAAACAAAAGAGATGTAAGAGAACAAAAGACTGGATATAGAATTCAAGACCACGGTTATAAGGTTTTTCAAGAATTTCCTAGAAAAGGCTGATAAATTTAATGAGACCCAACTAGAAATTAAACATAAACTGACTGAAATAAAAAATATTATACAGAGATCCAATAGCAGACTGGAGGAACAGAAGAATCAAGTCAAAGATTTGGAATACAAAGAACCAAAGGACACTCCTCTGGAGAAGCAAGAAGTAAAGAGAATCCAGAAAGTTGAAGAAAGTGTAAGGAGTCTCTGGGACAACTTCAAGTGTACCAACATCAGAATTATGGGGGTGCAAGAAGAAGACAGAGTGCAAGATATTGAAAACCTATTTGAAGAAATAATGTCAGAAAACTTCCCCCACCTGGTGAAAAAAATAGACTTACAAGTACAGGAAGCGCACAGAACCCCAAAAAAGAGAAATCCAAAGAGGACCACACCAAGATACATCATAATTAAAATGTTAAGGGCAAAAGACAAAAAGAGAATCTTACAAACAACAAGAGAAAAGCAGTTGGTTACCTATAAGGGAGCACCCATGCAACTATCAGCTGATTTCTCAACAGAAACTATGCAGGCCAGAAGAGAGTGACAAGAAATATTCAAAATAATGAATAGCAAGAACCTGCAACCAAGATGACTGTATCCAGCAAAGTTATCATTCAGAATTGAAGGGCAGATAAAGAGCTTCACAGATAAGAAAAAGCTAAAGGAGTTCATCACCAAAGTAGTATTATATGAAATGCTCAAAGATATTCTTTAAGAAGAGGAAGAAGAAAAAAGTAAAGAAAAAAATTATGATCAACAAAAACATATATCAACAAGTGAATCTAAAAGTCAAGTGAATTAAAAATCTGAGGAACAGAATAAACTGGTGAATATAATAGAATCAGGGGCAAAGAAAGGGAGTGGATTGATAATTATCAAGGGAAAGTGGTGTGAGGGGTGCAGGAAGAGACTGGATTAAAATCGTACACCTATGGATGAGGACAATGGGGATGGGGGAGGTAAGGGCAGAGGTGGGGCGGAAACCAAGTGGAAGGGAGCTATGGGGGGAAAAAGAGACACAATTGTAATAATCTGAGCAATAAAGATTTATTTTTTTTAAAAAGTTTGTTTATCCCATCTTCCATTAGGGTGAGAATTTGGGATGTCAGGTTCACTGCTGTATTCTTGGTGATTAGAACAGTGCCTAGCCAAGCATGCTAATATTTGTTGAATGAATACTGTCTCTATTTCTTGTTCACTTTTCACTCAATTTTTAGTCCTTTACCCTTAACTGATCATTCTTTATTTCTAGAAATAGTTTTATTCTTACTCAGCTTGGAGAAGACCACTCTATCCTGGATATTCACCTATCTCCTTGGCTACTCCTCAGTATTCTGGTTCTTCCTTATCCTGTCTCTCAAAATGAGAGTGCTCCAGGACTTAGTATTTGATCTGAGTTTACACTCAGTCCCTTACACTCTTTTTATTTTTTATTTCATTGTTTAAATTATTACAAATAGTAGTACATACATCTTCTTTCCCCTCCATTAACCTCCCCCCAGCCTCTCCTACACCTCAGCACAGGCTCTCACTACAACCCCCCAATGTTTGCGTCCATTGGTTATGCTTATATGCATGCATGCAAGTCCTTCAGTTTATCTCTTAACTCCCCCAACCCTCCCCAGCCTTCCCACTATAATTTGACACGCTGTTTCATTCTTCTCTGCCTCTGTATCTTTTTGTTCATCAGGTTATAATGTTCTTTATTATCCATAAATGATTGATATCATGTGGTATTTATCTTTCACTGACTGCCTTATTTCACTTAGCATAATGTTCTCCAATTCCATCCAGGTTGCTGCAAATGGTAAGGATTCCTCCTCCATCTCTTTCTCCTTCTCCTTTTCCTCCTCTTGCTCCTCCTCCTCCTCTTCCTCCTCCTCCTTCTTTTTTGCAGCATAGTATTCCATTGTGTAGATGTACCACAGTTTTTTAAATAGGTATATGCAATGGTAAAAAAAAACTCATCTGCTGATGGGCACCTAGGCTGTTTCCAAATCTTTGCTATTGTAAAT